TGCTACCACCTGCCTGGCCAGATCCTGGCCACCTGTGCCCCACCTGCCCTACCCAGGGCCTGGCAGGGGTCTGGCACCGGGGGACCCTCCACCAGGCCAGGTGTCAGTTGTGTCCGTGCCTGCCTGGCATCCACCCCCATCCAGCCTGCAGGGCCTGGAGAAGTGGACAAGGGGAAACTCCGGGCAGGGCAGGGTCTCCTCAGGACCTGGGGGCCCCCCAGGTGGCTCCAGTGCTGCACCCCATGAGTCCTCGGGAAGCTGCCCAGTGAGACTCTGGGGTCCTCTGTCCATCTGGCTTCCACTGTTGGACCTGCAGACAGTGGCTCCCTGGGGCTGCTGGAGTTGGCTCCTCCACCTTTGACCAGAGGCTGCCCAAGGCTCCTGGAGCCAAGGGAGCTCTGTGCACAGGTGAGGTTCCAGCCCACTTGAGACCCGGACGAGGGTCCTTCTCAGGAGCTCATGTTTTCTCCCTTCTGGAAAACACAACTTTTTTTTTTTTTTTTGTACTGGGGATTGAACCCAGGGGCCACTTACCACTGAGCTACATCCCTGGTCTTTTTTTATTTATTTACTTATTTCTGAGACAGGGTCTTGCTAAGTTGCCGAGGATGGCCTCAGTCCTCCTGCCTCAGCCTCCCAAGTCACACAGCAGAACAGAACATTTTTTTTCCTTTTCATTTTCTGGTGACTACTGAGCAAAACCAGGAGTGTCAAGCAGTTGGAGACAGGCCTTTGATCCCTCTTTATTCCCCTGGGAGGACGGTGGGATGAGAGCAGCACTGCTTCCGCTGAGGGGCCTGGGGTCTCAGTCCTCCTAAGGTCAGGGCTGGCATTCCCAGGGGAGGTCCTGGGAGAGGGGCCATTAAAGCTGACCACGGAGCCTGCAATCAGCCAAGGCTCACCAGGCAAGGGGAGAAAGGCACGTCCAAAGGCCGGCAGGCGGGCAGAGAACCAAGGGATCCCTACCCTGGTCTTGCTGCCAGTCTCCAGGACACTCAGAAGTACACAGAGCCCTCCCTGTCCTCTTGGTCATCGAATTTCTGGATCTGGGTCTTGAGGTGCCTCAGTTTGGCCTTCAGATAGCGACAGCGCAACTGCTTGTCCAGGAAGCCAGGGTCCTGGGAGGGAAAGAGCCAGGGAAGTCCTTGTAGCAGTCTAGCCAATGGTCCTTGTGCTGTTCAGCCCTTTGTCTTTTCCTCTACAAGCCTCCGTTTTTTGAGTGTAAAAGAGGATGACTGAGAGGGAGAAGGGGAATAGCATGGACAGTGGAAGGAGACCCTCATCATTATACAAAATACACGTATGACGAAGTGAATTTGGTGTCAACATAGCTTATGTACATCCAGAGATATGATAAATTGTGGTATAAAGGTGTATTAAGAATTGTAATGCAAAAATAAATGTAAAAAAAGAGATGCACAAGATTAAAAAAAAAAAAAAAAAGAGTATGACTTAGAGTGAGAAGAAAAGAGACAGAGCTCCTGCAGGGCGGGAGGGGACCCAGTAGGGCTGCCCAAGCCTCAGCTTTTTTGTTTTTGAACTGGGCACAGGTGTCCCAGCTTCACAACACTCAGGAGTGCAGGGCGAAGCTATGTAACCCAGGTGTCCTGACTCACCTTCCACTTTTTCTCAAACTCCCTCCAGACACGAGCTGCAACTTGGGCCTCCTTCTGCAAGGGGAGGAGGAGGAGGTGGCTCAGGAGATTGGGGCCAAGGAAGAAGAGGGAGGCTCAGTGACCCACCAGGTGAGACCTCGAGCACTGCCCTCGGCCATGTGTTGTGGCACCCCCAGCCTAGAGGAAGAGGCCACCAAGGATCTGGACGCAGTGGGTGTCCCAGGGGCTTAGGTCAGGCCACTTGAAGGGTTGTGGGCAGCAGGGGTTTCTGCCCAGTGCTGACCTGGCTTTGGGGTGGGGGCAGCGAGCTCATCAGGGCCTCCAGCTGCTGGAGCTTTGCCTGTGTGGACCCCACCTCGTGCTGGAGCTCCAGGAACTCTCCATACTGGTCCTGGAACACTGCAACGTAGCGGCTGCGTTCCCTCTCACTGCTGACCGGTGGGTACTTGCTGCCGGGTTGAAGGGGTGAAGGGGTCAGGGTGAGTGGAAGGAACTCCCTGGTTCCCTTCATCAGCGGAGTTCGTTTTTCCAAGCCCTTGTTTGGTTCCCTGCTCGAAATACCCTTTTCCTCTCTAGTAAACTCCTGGGCAAAGCCCCAGCTTCAGCGCTCCTTCCCTGTTCCCAGGCATCAAGAGCCACCACCCTGGGGACACTCACAGCTCATAGTCGGGAGAAGGATGGGGCCTAGGCATTTGCTCCGCACGGATGGCTCTAGTAGGCTTCTTGGTGACCAGGAGGGCCTGGGGATTTAGTTCATCCTCAAATACAATCTTCCTGGGCCTGGCCTTGGGGAATGCGGGCTGGGGCTGGCGTCGCGGGCGGGGGACGCTGGTTTTGTGGTCTGGAGGCACTGTTCCCTGCAGGTTTGGGGTTAAAGGGGAGTGGGGGGCGTGTGTCAGGAAACTGGGGTCTTTTAACCTGAGGGGTCTGGATCTTTGCTGAGGCCCAGCCTGTGGACTCCTCTGGGCCACACTCACCGGGGGCCCAGGGCCAGGCGGGCGGGTCTGCGAGATCCCCCGGGGGCCGCGGGCCAGGGAATGTTCCCGGGCCGGCATCTGCCTCCGGCAGGCGCCGCTCCCGGGTCCCCGAGCTGGGGGGCGGGTCCCGCGGGGGGCGGCGTGGCCCGCGCGTGGCGGGCGCGGTCTGCGGGCGGCCTGCGGACAGGGAGGAGGGCAAGGCTGAGGGCGGCGCCCGGGAACCGCCCAGCGCGGTCCACAACCACCCGCCGGCGCGGCCCCAGCCCCGTCGCTATTTGCATAAACGCACAGGGTTGGTCGCCAGCGCGCCTCAGGCTCCTCCCCTATTGGCGTAACCCGGAAACGCGATAAGCAAATGCTCATAACATCACTACGCAGCTGGGCTCGGACTCCAGTTAACCAACACCACGCTGCCAGAGCTTCGCGCTTTCCGAGGAGGAGCCCACCGGTCACAGCCCCCGAGATCCCCCGGGACCTCCACCCCGCCTGCAGGATCGTTCCCGCCCGGCGTCACCTGTCCCAGCGTCCGAAATCCGAGCCTCTGTCCCCTGCGGAAAGGCACTTGCACCGGGGTTGTGCGTTTAACCGCGGGCTGGACCCGACTGGTAGGGTCGATCGGGCAGGGCGTGGGCGGGGCCTGTCAGATGGGGCGGGGCCTGGAGACGCGGGGGCGGGTCTGGCGTGGCGGGGCTTGGCTACCAACCCTGAAACGCAGGTTCGAGTCCCATCCCGACCCAGACCCGCACCCGCTGTGTATCTGGGTTGAAGTTCAACTTCTCTTCGTTTGTCTGAAAAATGTGGAGGTTTTCGCGAGCTGTATTCATTTTTTTCAGCAACTATATTTTTATTTTTTAAATATATATAATTTTGAATACTGGAGATTGAACCCAGAGGGCTCTAACACTGAGCTACACCCCCTAGACCTTTTTATTTTTTGAGACAGGGTCTCTCTAAGTTGTTGAGGGTTTCACAAAGTTATTGAGGCTGGCCTAGAACTTGTGGTCTTCCTGCCTCAGCCTGGCAGGGATGATAGGCATGCGCCACCGTCCCCCGTCAGTAATTATTATTACTTTTGTACCAGGGATTGAACCCATGGGTGCTTAACCACTGAACCGTGTCCCCAGCCCCCCCCCCCTTCTTTCTATTTTATTTAGAGACAGGGTCTTGCCAAGTTGCTTAGAGCCTCACTAATTTGCTGACGCTGGCTTTGAACTCGTGATCCTCCAGCCTTGGCCTCCTGAGCAGCTGGGATGACAGAAATGAGCCACAGCGCCCAGGAAGCCAGACATTATATTTTAAGAGAATCTCTTTAACCCGTAGGGCTTTTAGAAAAATCAAGTAGAAAAGGCAAGAAAGGTGGGCACAGTAGCACCCTTCTGTTATTCCAATGACTTGGGAGGCTGAAGCAGGGGGATTTCAAGTTCAAGACCAGCCTCAGCACCTCAGGAGATCCTGTCTCAATAAAAAAAGGGCTCTGGGGTGTAGTACCATGGCCCAGGCTTGCCTACCATATGTGAAGCACTGGGTCCTCCCATCCTCATAGAGTAAAACAAAAGCAAAAAACCCCAACCTTGTCCCCAGAGACAGCAGTTAATCATGTCTCCTGGAGAGATCCTAATTCAAAGAAATACGTTTTCCTCATTGCAAACAATACTGCAAAACGTATCCATGCCAACACTTCTTGGCTACCTATGGGTTGGATAAATTCCTAGAAATGGAATCACTAGGGCAAAGGAATCTGTGTATTTTAAACTTGGAGATCCTGCCAAGCTATTCTTTGGAGTTTGTATCATTTACACAGAGAAAGAGGGATTGTTCACAACCTTGTCAGCACCTGTAGTATCCATTGCCAAGTGTATTTTTAGAGGTTTAAATTTCACCTAATTTGCTGAGTGAAAAACTTCAGAAGTCATTTGTATTTCTTTTCCTGTTCACATCCTGAAGATTTTTTTCCTTGATGAGCTTTAGTTCTTCATACATGAAGGAAACTAGTTCAATCAGATAGTGTCTTTTATGCTACTACTATAAATGGGATCCTCCAATGTATTTTGCAGCTATATATGTGTAGAATGTAGGAAATAAATTTTTGAATTTTTTTTTTTTGACGGGTCTTGCCTGGCACTCCTGGGTTTGAGTGATCCTCCCACCTCAGCCTCCTGAGTAGTGGGTCTGCAGGGTGCCACCACATCCCTCTCCTCCTGGGGCCTGGCCTTGTCCAGAGTGGGACACACACCAGGATGGAATGCGGTGTGTTTGCTGTCAACCTCCTCCAGGTCCCTGGAGCCAAAGCTTCCTCCCTGCTCATCCACTCTCTGTGGCTCCTGGAGACTATCCATGACCCTCCCATCTTGTCTCCATCCCCCTTCAAGGGGACCCCCCTGGATGGGACGAGGGCAGACAGGACACACAGGGTGGAGCCAGTCTTTATTTGAGCTTGGGCATGATTCGGATGAAGAGGATCATGCTGATGAAGATGAAGCAGACGATAATGAGCATGGCCCAGAGCAGCCAGTTGACCGACTTCTGTGCGTGCTGCTCCAGCCGCTCCGACTCTGTCTTCAGCTTCTCCAGGTTCTGGTCAGCCATCTTGAGTGAGTGTGACAGCGTCTGTGGACGAGGTGGGCAGGATGTCAACAGGGCTGGGGCCACCCCAGGGCAGGCTACACCTCTCCATGTGTCCCGATGCTCTGCCCTTTGCTGGGACTGCCACCACTTTGGTTTCCTACCAAACTCCTATTGGTCCAGCAGAACCCAGTTACAGCGCCCCCCTCCTGAGAAGCCACCTCTGATGCCCCAAGGCAGAGGCTGGAGAGTTCCCAGCCCCCACACCTGGTTGTCCTTCTTGATGACGCTCTGGGCAGCCAGCGTGTTGGTCTTGAGGCTCCGGGCCAGGTCTAGCATCTCCTCTGACAGCTTCTCCTGGAGGTTCTGGTGTCGTTGCAGGACAAGGTCCAGCTCAGCTGCTGACTGCTTCTCGTCCACAGGCCTGGGCCCCGCCACCCCACTGATCCACACATGGGGGATGAGCGGATAGGAGAGGTGGAGCAGGGGGGGAAAGAGACCGCCATGTTCCCGAGGAGCCTGGGGGTTGTGGCTCCAGCTGATGCCCTGCTGGGGACCGTTTCCCCTTCTTTGTGTGGCTTCTGGGAAGAGCGTTCTCAGAAGTGGCTTCTAATGGGTGACCTGCAGTGGCACCTCAGTGGCCCAAGGTTTCTGCAGCTCCCTCCCCACCCATTCCAGAAGGCTGGAGACACTCACCTTCGCTTCCTCAGGTCCTGCTCGGGCTCTGGAAGCAAAAGAGGCCAAGCAGCAAGAAGGAGAGATTGGTTTCTGCTTCAAGCCTCCTGATCTTCGCCTGGGCCCTGTCTGCTACCTGGCACGCCATTTCCTCATCTGGGCTGCTGCCCAGTGGGCTCCTAATCATGCTTCAAAGCTTTAGCTAGAATGTCCCTTCTTGTAGAAAGTCTTTCCCACCACTGACTGGGCTCCCCAAGACCCCAGGTCTCTCCATCTAGGCCAGCCTTGGTCCTGTGGCCTGGCAGTGCTCAGCTCTGTCTCTTCCAGGGGCCACTTCCTCTGTCCTAACTTACCCTCCAGACATTACTGGGTGACATTCTCCCTGGACCAGGGAAGACCTGTGGGAGCCAGGTTGGGAGCAGCAGGGACATATGTTTTGTTCCAGGTACCTGGGCTTGAGTCCTATTTCATTCAGTGACTCACCTCCAGCAGAGTCCTATTGGAAAAATGGAGAGAGATGAAGTCACCACCCTATCCTATCCCAAATCTGTCCTTTCTGCTCTCCAAACTTGGGCTGGGGATGTGGCTCAGGGATAGAGCACTTGCCTAGCATGTGTGAGACACTGGGTTCTATTATTAGCACCACAAAAAAAATAATAATAATTAAAACAAAGATTATATCCATCTACAGCTAAAAATATTAAAAAACAAAAAACATATCCCAAAACTTCCATATCCTTATTCAGAGGCCTGGGCAAATCCTGTGACCTGCAAGCCTTGGTTTCCTCATCTATAAACTGGTCATGACAGCAGTTCACATTCGGAAGGGCTGAGCTGATGCATGTGAAGTACTCAGAAAAGCAATTCTCATTGTATTTTATAGATGAAGAAACCAGCCTGCCTCTTGAAAATGGCAAGCCAGGAGCCAAATCCTGCTGGGGGGGGGGTGGTTAACTCGGGGGCTTCAACACATTTCTCATTTGTGTACTGAATCATCGAGCAAATGCCTGGCCACAATGGCCCTTTCTTGGGAAGGCTTGTCTGCTGGCCCAGGGAAGAGGCTTTATTATCCTGGCAGGCATTGTACTCGGGGATTATCTGAGGGGTTCCCAGGAACAAGGGAGGGAGCCTACCATGCCTAGCAGCTCACTCCGCATCTCGCTGGTGTACCGTGCCCGGGACTGCAGATGTACCGTCTTGGTGGCAGGCACACGCTCCCTGGCCATGGTCGGCACGCGACCAGGGGTCAGGAACTGGTTGGCTAGTGCCTTCTCTGAGGAGGAAGTCTATAGAAATGTGGGAAGATAGTTATCTGAAGGCACTGGGGTCTCTGGTGCACTTGATGGGGCTGAGGAGGCAGAACCAGCTCTGCTCACCAACTTTTCTGCCTGCAGCATCCCCTTCAGAAAATCCACCTTGCGGGAATATTCATTGATCACCTCGGAGGCTGGTTTGCTGGAAGACGGAGGAGAGGAAAAAGAAACCTGCCCACTCTCTCTAGTTCAGGAAGGGGTCCAGGGCAGGCACCGGAGAGAACTCCCACATCCGAATTTGAAGCCCACTCACCTGGCTTGGGCTTTCAGGGCCTGAAGCATGTCCTCCAGGGCCCCCACATACTGGGGAGGAAGAACAGGGTGTTACCTAGCTTCATGGGTGGGAGCCACGAGAGGGGCGGCGCCGGGCCGGAGGGTGGGAAGGGAGGGATCAAACGCCGGGGAGGGGCCGCGGGGGGGGGGCGGGGCACTAGGTACTCTGGACGGTTGCAGCAGGTGGACGTGGCCGAGCTGACCGGAAGGGGCGTGGCAGTGAGGTGGCGGGGGGCCGGGGAATCGGGCCCGGGGCTTGCCCACCCAAGGAGCCGCCCTCCAGGAGTTAGGCTGTACGCGGCAGCGTGGGATTCCCCTCACCTTCTCCAGGCGCCACTCATCTGGGTCCCGCTTCTCCGCTGCCATTGCCTCGCAGCGGCACAGCAGCCTCACCAGGTTAAGCTCCAGCCTCGACGCTGCCATCGCTACCGGGCCGTATCCTGCCCCTTCCGCCGGCGCCATCTTTAGGGATGGCGGAAGTGGCTGCTTCCGGCCTCCTTCCGGGCGGACCTTCGCGCTCATTAGCCTACAGTTATTTAAGGTGGAAGTAAGGCTTGTTGCTACGAGAGGCGCTGTCCCGTCCATATTTATTCAGGGCGAAATCGCTTGCTCTTCCTGGTGAGCATCTCGATCCTCCCGAAAGGGTTGGAAGGACCGGATCTTCTGGTGTCAGGCCCAAGTGCGACTTGCCCTTTGGGTGTTCGGTTCCGCCTGTTCAGAATCCTGCCTGGATTATTCTGACACCAAGCTCTTCCGCATCCAGGCAGCCTTCCCTGATTTCTAAGGGGGCAGACCCCTGACCTGGGACTTCGGAATCCTGGGCCCTTCCTTGCTTCATTACATGACTCCAGACCCTGATTTTTCTGGTCGGAGGGGCTCATCCATCTTTATGGATGCTATACATTGTAAGCCTCCAGGTCCCAGCTCTGTTTTTTGCTTTTTTTTTTTTTAGAGACAGGGTTTCACTAAATTGCTTAGCGCCTCGCTGTTGCTGAAGCTGGCTTTTAACTCGTGATCCTCCTGCCTCAGCCTCCACAACTCACAGCTGCTGGAATTACAGGCGTTTGCCGCGCGCATGACCTTGAAGGGATTTCTTTTCTGCGCTTTTTTTCTGGGAAGTGGACAACGTCACATTACTTGCCTCAAGAAGGACTTGAGGTAGCCTTGAAGCTAGACGTAGGGCTAGGCCACGCCTAACTGGGAGAGCCTATCCAGATCCCTAGGAAGACAGAGTTCCCGCAGATTTTCAGGAGTGTAGTGAGGGTGGGGGCATGCAGCTCTCATGTCTCCCCACTTCGCCTCTCCCCCATGTTCTGGTCACATAGATGGGCCTGAAAAGACCAGAGAGGAGACCAAACCTAGGGCCCGTAGAGTGAGCTCTAGAGGCTGACATGTGAATCCTACCCCCAGCCCTTCCCAGCCATGTGGCCATGGACCAACCTCCGCGCTTCTCCAAGCACCTGCTGGACTTCTTCAGGGTCCCTAGGGCCCATGCCAATCAGTTCGCGCAGCAGCTCATGGGATTGGCCCACCTGTGCAGTGGCTGCTCCAGGCTCTACCCCACCCATAAGGGACTGCCCCTCCACAGGGTTGGGTGGCCTCTGCACTGATAGAGGTTAGGTACTCCTATGGGAACTGCTTGTGTTCAGTTGTTTTTGGATTTCTGAGCTTTGAGGAGTTTGGAGTATTTATACATAACTGAGATATGCTGGAGATGGGACCCAAGTGCAAACACAAACTTGATTTGTCTCATATGCCTTATACAGAGAGTCTGAGGTAATTCATTTTGGTGCTGGGGTTGAACCCAGGGCTCTGGTGTGATGAGCATGTGCTCTACTGCCGAGTTAACACCTCTAGACCCAGAGGGCATTTTTGTGCAACGTTATAGTGTTTTGACAGAGACCCCTTGTTGGAGTTTGGGCATGGAATTTCCCATCTGTGATGTGTGTCAGTGCTCAGAGTTTTGGATCTTGGAGCGTTTTGGATTAGAGATGCTCAGCCATTATGCCTCAGCTGGGCACAGGCTGCTGCTGAAGCAGGAGACGAGGCAGCGCTATTGGGAGCTCCCTAATCCTTCAGCTTTTCCAGTCAATAAAGAAGCCCATCTCAGGTGGGCACACCTGCAATCCCTGCAACTTGTAGGCTAAGGCAATTTCAAGGACAGCCTGGACAGCTTAAGTGAGCTCCTATTTCAGAATAAACAGAAAGGGCTGGTTGTGCAGCTCAGGAGGCAGAGCGCGCCTGCCTAGCATGTGGGAGGCCCTGGGACCCAGCACTTCAAACCAAGCCCCCCCGCCCCCTCCCCAAACCTCAGAAACAAGCCAAGCTTATCTTCCTTAGGTGAAGAGTTCATGAAAGTCCCACAGCACCTTTGGCTGGAGTGTCAGAACTGGTCCCCACAACCCTCCGGCTGAGGCTGCAGGGCTGACCCCATTCCCACCCCCAAGCCAGACTGAGCAAGAATCCCACCAAAACACGTCACAGGCACTTTTTCTTTATTTCACACCTTGTGCAGAGTGCCCTTTGTCCCAGGCCTGTGGCCAAGTGCCCGGGGGAGTGGGTGGAGCTTGAGAGGGGAGGCTCCACTCCCAGCACCCCCAGGCTGCTGCTGCGGCAGGGATGTACACTGCAGGCTTTGCCCTCCCTGCCCTGCCCTACCCAACCCACCCCTAATGGTCCTGAGTCACTGGCTCATGTCACACAGGGCAGGCAGAGCCCAGGGCAGCCTCCTCGAGCCTCCGGCATCCAGGCACAGTAGAGAGCTGTGACAGCACATTCAGCCTCCCTGGGATTCGAGGTTGGTGCTGCCTGGGTTGAGGGCCATTCCTGATTCATATCCTGGCTCTAGACGACAGCCTGGACCCCGTGGAAGGCTCCAGTGTTCCCTGGAGTGGACGTGGCCAGGTGGCCGCTGCTGCCGGAGACAAGCATTGGAAACAGACTGGGGAGGTCAGGTGCCCCGAGGGGCTAACTCCTCCGTGCAGGGTCCCAGTTCGCCGACTGCCCACTGACTGGATGCAGCATGTAGCTGAGCGAGTGGCCCCGCTCTGAGGACCAGTCCAGGTCACCAGGGAGACGCACGGCGTTAATATAAAAGTTTGAACATACACACATAAAAAACGATTTGGTCTTCCGTTAAGGCTGTTACAGTTTAAAGTTATGTAAACCACAAACAAACAAACAGTTACTGTAAAAACACAGAAAGGGGAGACGTGGGCTCCAAAGACCTGGTGCTGCAGGCGCTGCGGGGCGTGGGGCGCCGTGGGGCGCCGTGTGGGCCCCTGGGTCCTGCCACGCCTGCACCTGGAGCCTGGGCCACCTCGCTCTGCTCTTAGAGCTGTTTGTTCTGGGTCTTTCTGCTAGAGCCCGGCTCCAGCACAGGGCCGTCCTCAGACACGCAGACGGTCGCTGGCGCCTTCAGCCGTTGGCTTGACCCGAGGCGGGGGGCAGGCGGTATATTGGGGGGTCTGAGTACCTCCGCTTGAACCCAGGAGGCCGGTCGTCCTCTTCCAGGGGTTCCAGGGCACCCTGCGCAGGCAGGCTCACCCCGGGCGTGATGTACACTGAGTGAACCTGGTCCGGGCGGCGGGCAGGGGGCTCTCGGCGCCTCACTGGGACAGCAGCCTCCTGGGCCCTGGGCGCCCATCCGTGAAGGTGGATGGGCAGGCCAGGCGGGAGCTTGATGTTGGCCATGGGCATGACAGGGTTCCGCCGGGGGGTCTTCACTCTGACCGTGACGAAGGAGGATGGCCTTCGTCGTGGAGGGGCGGCTGCCGTGGGGAGGGGGCTCGGGGTGGGCGCACTGGGGCAGGGGAGAGCAGGCGTGGGGGGCCCTTTTGAGAGACAGATGGCAGGGTTACTGTGGCTTTGGGGTGGGCAGATGAACCCACGCCCCGGGGGCTGCTGGGATGGACGGGAAGGAGCGAGGTGGCCGTGACCTTAATACTGACCTTCCGAGGCCCCCCGCCCGGCCCGTTCCTCCAGCAGGCTCTCGGTGCTGGCTGACGTCTCCGAGTCTAGGTTTTCCTCGTCAGAGCCCCTTGGGTCCAGCTCTGGTAGCCGGTAGGTGATGTCCTCCCTGGGGGTGAGGGGTCACTGTGTCCAAGGCTGCTCCCACCATGAGGAGCCCCCCCCCCCCAGGAAAGTGCTGACAGGGACAGGGCAGTCTGTCCCACACCCTCTCCTGACTGTCCACACTTGGCCTAAATGCTCTGGGCCCTCTGAGGCCGCTTACAGCCCGGGGTCCAGGTGCTGAGGGAGCCGGGCATCTGCCCAGCACTGAGCTAGTGATGTGCTCCCACCGTGGGGCTGCGGCTCGTGCTGTCCTCTGCCTGGAGCAATGTTCCCTGGTCCTAAGAGTAAGGTGGCCAAATAACCTGGTCACACCTGTTTTCCTGGTTAACCATTTCTTTTTGAAATGCAGTTCCTGTGTTGCCCAGGCTGGCCTTGAACGCCCAGACCCAACACTTCTCCTGGGTGTGCCATGACACCTGCCTCAAGGTGACTGTCTTTTATTTTGGGTGGTGCTGGGGATGGAGCCCAGGGCCCCCACGCTGTGAAAGCGCCTCACCGCTAAGCTACACCTCAGCCCAAATCTGGGTTTAAAGAGAGCTGCTGCAGGGTTCATGGTCAAGTTTGGGGACAGCAGTGTCCCACAGGGTGAATATTTTTGCTCTGTGCTAGGTACAATAGAACTGAGCCTGGCAAGGTCAGGCAGACCTCCTGGCCTAGACCCTGCCCAGCAGTGTCCAAGATCACATCCTCTGTTGCTTGTGGGGCCAGGGCCGAGGGGGAAGGGGAGAAAGGACACTTGCTTCTCCTCCTTGATGGACTGGATCCGCTCTATAAGGATCTCCTTCTCTCGGTCCTCCTCGTCACCAGCCCCTGCCTCCTCCTCAGGCAGCACTTCCAGCTCCTCCAGGCTGCTGTCCCTGCTCACCTGGGCCTTGGGGCTCTTGTTCTGAAAATAGGGAAGGAACAAGTCTGACCAGCACCCTCAAGGGGCGGAGCTTAGTGCTCTCAGGCGGTGGGGGCGGAGCTTAGTGCTCTCAGGCGGACCAAGCGGCTCCAAGGGAGGTTAGTTCTGCCGAGGCCCCACTGTGCTCTTGGTGAGACTTCAGGAATCCTGCAGGGACGGAGTGGCTGGCACTTGGCTGATTAGTGGTCCTCAGCACGGAGGGTCAGCAGGCAAAGGGCCACCCCCAGCATGCACTTGGAAGGCTAGGACATGCTCGGTCTATGATAGGAGAACCCCGGGGCCAAGGGAACCCCAGCGTGCACCGACGCACTGGGAGACATGCACCGAGGACCCACAGAGCGCGTACATACCAGGACCCCCTCATAGGGAGACGAAAACCCCAGTTTGAGAGGCCAGGGCTGGGGGAGAGATGAAGACAGGGTGAACAAAGGCACCAAGACTGCGACGCAGGCACGAGCAGGGGGCAGTCCAGCAGCTGGCCCAG